AAGCATTCAAAGGTTAAATATCATGATTTATAATATTACTATTACATTTATTAGCAGTTATAATAATCTCTCAGTTTACAGTTGCTGAAGTCATTAATCAATTTATTTGTTCTGACCGGGCCTTACCACCCTAAATATCATTAATAGACTTGTCCAGTTTTCAGTCCAGATATAACCATTCATCATTTTCAGGGAAATTTTCAATGTTTGTACAGAATGAACATTGAAAAGTGCAGATCAGGATTAGATGACATGGACATACCGCTGATCTTGGTCTGCACTGGTTTGAGCTTCTTAATGGACAGCAGTTGTAAATTAATGCTTGCTAAGTAGTAACCTTCTACACCCTGTAGCACAGGCTTTAAAGCACTGAATTTAACATTTAGACATTTTTAGAATCATCAGCAACTGTGTTCATACCACAGTTATCTTTGAACCTCATAATTATGAAACACATACAGACAAGTGGTGTATGGTCCCAAAATAAAAGTAAATGCTACTGGCTCCATATAATATACGTTGTATATATATTATCAAATCAATCATTGCAATTTATTTAATTTTACCTATGAAATATGTTGCTATATCAGTCAAACATATCTCATATTCTTTAAAATAAATATGAAAAATAAATATGAAAGTGGGCGGAGTCAAAACTCATATCTCTTTTAAGGGACTTCTTTCGCCATTTTGTTTGAAATACATAACAACTTTTTGTTGAATTTTGTTTTGAAAACTATCTAGAATGATAGAAAATCGTCTAACTAAGGAAATAAATCCGAACACGAATATCTTTAATTCAGTCATTAATGCTGTACAGACGTTTAAACAGTTGTCACAACGTAGCGTTAAATATCGTGTGCAAAACATTAAGACAATAATTATATTACTGCGCGCTGTACAATTGCAGTTGCGTAGCAAGCGAGGGGTTTCGTAACCAATTTTCTTTGAATGATGAAATTAAATAAAAAGGTTATTTTTCCGTTTTTCGTGAAATATGGTATATATTTTCACTCAACATGATAAAATGCAACATATTTCATGCAACATATTTCGTCCCGGCTCGTGAAAATATGCGGCATTTTATCATGTTTCCTGAAAATATATTTCATATTTCACTCAAACGAAAAAATATCCTCTTAATTTTACTCATTTTGTCAACATTTTTTGCAATAATGCAAATACAGAGTCTGTTATAGACCACAACATTACACAGCTTCTGCAACATTTCTAAACAAACATAACATTGATATCATTCATGTTTTACTCACTATGTCAACATTAGACAGGAAAAACAGAAATATACCTGACAGTAGAGATATATTACAACTGCAGTATAGACATGATCATAAATATTTACCTAAAATCATTTCATGTCCATGCCTCTAAATGTCCAATAAATTGCAAGTGCTGCTTAAAAAAATACTTCCAAATGAATTCATGTGTAATCTGTTTTGCAAAAACAAAAAATCTTTATGTTGTAATGTGATAAAAAAGGTGTGTAGAAAATTCCTTAATTGTTAATCAGTGAGTTCATTTTGTCAAAGAGCTGCCTTTTGGTTGACAATGTTCTTTATAGGTCTTTGACTTCATTTCTAAATACCTGACTTAATGCCTCTAAATTGTTAGACCAATCACTTTAACCAGCAGATAGATATTATAATTCAACAAAAAACCCTGTACTAGTTCAAACCTGTCATTTTGCAAGAATCTTCTAGCACTACAACATAAATACTTACAGCAAAGATGGAGGACATTTTGCTCAGAAATAAATGTACCTCATACAGAACTTGAACTCGTAACGCCAACCTCTGTAGACCAGACAGTTTCCATTTATAAAGTTAGTCTAGCACAACACCAACATATTGTCCTTTATTGAGGTTTTCATACAGAAAATTTGTTTCATTATCAACAGTTTTGGAATTTGTCCTTCACTGCAGGCATTGAAAAAATATTTTGAGAGTCACTCACTCTGTAGGACACGTACGTAGCTTCTAAGTCTATAAAGGTGCAGGCAACATTTTTCTACTAGTCCTGCATTGAATTCTCTAAAATTCTACTTGTAATTACGAACAGAATAGTGGAATTTTCGACATTATATTCGACATATAATGCTCCTCAGAATAAAGAGTTCTCAAGTTTTGAGTCTTATTGTGGAGTGATCAACAAATCAACCAGCATTAATTCACAAATCAAATAAGAGTAAATTGCTAAAATACCACAAACATGCATTTAATAATTCTCTGGGCTACAATGCAAGCTCCATACTATATAATAGAGCTGATTGCTTCCCTAGAAAGTTGACAAATGAAAACCACTGGCCCTGTCACAAGCAGTAATGCTATCTATATTCCAAAAGTTTGTAACTTATTAAATAACTTGTCTCCATATGACCACAATTTAGTCAACTCGTTATGATAGTATAACTGCATGATAATATGTCATCTATACTCTGGTAATTTATTTCGAATTATCATTTCTTAAAACTTTATTTATTTGGGCAAATTACATCAGCTTTGGCAATTAACAAGGATAAACAACAAATATAGCCAATATATCCAATAAAATTTCAAAATTGGCGACATTATTATGACAGCACTATACTGTTAAGTAATAAATGAATGACAGAGTACATCATTCTCTATTATAATTTACATGTTGTATTAACAACTTCTATGACAACAATAATCACAACAGAAATGAGAAAGCTGACAACCTGACATTTTGTCCTTAAACTTTACTATATCTATATAGTAGGTTTAATATACCTGCTAAATCTTGAAATTTAAATTTAGAACAGTCCATGAGTCACTTCCTTTATACACATATAAACCATTATACACATATAAAAAATCTAAATTTCAGAGACATGATAATTATAAAGTCTGGTCATACTAAATAAATTGTGCAGACATTGAGGCGGGCCTGACACATAAGTAAACCATCAAGACCTACAGCAAAATGAAACATCAATCCAAAAAAAATATATATTTCCAGTCCCGTCATGTCAAAAAACCTCTCTGTAGTTCTTTTCAGGCCTTTAAGTTAAAGTAATATATACAAAAATACCATAAAAATACAAAAATACTGTTAAAATATTTCAACAAATACAAATCTTTCTATCAACAAGGACTTTGAACTAAAACTAACAGAGACAAAAAGAAGATGAAGATTAAATCATAGAATAAATTTCTATTATTATTCACCATAGGTTTGTTAGAAAGCATAAAAGTGTATTATCAATGATTATTTATGCAAAGTGCTTTCTCTAGCAGACAGAAGTTCTCTATCATTATATAATCATGACCTTGATTGAAATGTTGCATGTTGTCATGTGACGGCAGTGTTGCAATGCTGCTACCATCATTCTACAATTATATACAGTTACACCAAAAACAACAATCTCTTTTAAAATAGCTAAAATTGGAATTCTATAGGTTGCATGTGGTGCAAATGATATAGACCTGATTGAGCTTGTTTAAAATGGTAGTGGTTTTCTGTGCAAATTTTGGTCCACCCTCTCACATGGACCTACTGGTATAACTACAATAGCTCTACAGTCAAGCTAATAAAAAACTTGTAGCTTGTAGTTTTATTTTTTTGGTGTAAATATTACCCCTTGCTTTTTAAAGCAAGCAATGTGCTAAATTCAAGTGTTCTAAGTGATCATTTCAACTATTCAGATACAAAAATATATTAATTCAGAGATGTAAATAGCATCTTATTTATGTCTTTGACTATTAGATAATTATTTAAATATTAATTAGGTATGATGCGTAGTATTGTGGGAGTAACACTCTCAAATGGTTACCTACTGGTAGCTACAATAGCTCCACCTATTCTTTGAATAGTCAAGCTAAAAAAACATGAAAATTTATTTATTTATTCATTCATTATTTTTAAATAAATCCCCTTGCCTTTTTAAGTTCATACTCATTGCAAGCAATGTGCTAAAATTCAAGTGATTTTCAAAGTTGAAATAAACTGACAACTAAGTTCAAAGTGATAATTTAAACTATTCAGATACAAAAATATATTAATTAGATATGAATTAGTTATGATGTGCAATATTGTGGGAGTAACCGTGCATGTTTCCAATTAGTAATAGAGCAGAATACATTAGAGCTCTAATTACAAAATGAGGTAAAAATCAACACAAGATTAATTGACTTCCTGTGATCAAATCAACCTTAACTAATTGATGCATCACCTTAATTAACCTATGTCCTTCCTATATTTATTGAATGGATTTGTGCTGCCTTAATTTTTGGAATTGTCCATTATCAATTATGGGGATATCAAAATGAAAACTTTAGAATGGTTAGCCAATGGTATGACATGGCAAGGCTGTTTTAAATATTTTGGTATGTACATGTTTATTTAGGCTTCATTTTGAAACTAGTTTTTGAAAGCTATTATTTATAATAAATAATCAATTTTCAATCTGCCTCCTAGAACTTAAACCAGATCATCATGATAAAATAATTATGCTCATGACTACCCCTGGTTGAGTCCTGGACATATAGACAGACACCTTATTTTCACTGTTCTACCTAATAATGTAAACATATTTTTTGAGTTCCAGCAATTTATAACAGATATTATAAAACAAATCATGTGCAATTTCAGTCAATGAGCTTTCATGTAAACTTGAGCAAGACAAATCTGACCAGTCAATGAGCTTTCATGTAAACTTGAGCAACATGAATCTGACCAGTCAATGAGCTTTCATGTAAACTTGAGCAACATGAATCTGACCAGTCAGTGAGCTTCATGTAAACTTGAGCAACATGAATCTGACCAGAAAACTTGAGCAACATGAATCTGACCAGTCAATAAGCTTTCATGTAAACTTGAACAACATGAATCTGACCAGTCAATGAGCTTTCATGTAAACTTGAGCAACATGAATCTGACCATTTGATCACATTTGTTAAACATTGTTGTAAAATTAAAGGGAGGGATATCTGCATATCAATGAAGAAATCATGGAATCTTACCTGTATTATAGTGTCCTTCTAGTTTCATGAAGTTACATCCAATTTCTAACTACAACAGGCTCCTGTAAGGTCTATAAAGGTTTTATGATATTCTTCTTTTACATCAGAATAACTTGAATAATCCTGAAAACAGAAAAAACTAGAACAATAACTAAAGGTGATTAATACCCCCACCAGCAACTTTGACTTTCTGAAAAATAGGTGGTCTGAAGCAAAATTTGATCTTAACCAGAATCAACTGTGTACAAATAATTCTAAACTAAAGTTATCTTCCGAAAACCATTATTCTATTTTTAGTAACAGTGACCTTGACCCAGGGGTGTCCAGAAGCAAACTGAGTCGGGGTCTTCATAATAATCTTGCTAAATACCAAGTTTGATTACAATATCTCATTCCTAACTCTAGTTATTGTCAGGTGTTACAAACTTCAAAGTTACACAAGGGCTCAAAACCACCTTACCTGCTGGAGCTATGAGATGCATAGACTCCAATATCAAGGGTAAAACTATGTCAAAATACAACTGAATTGTAGAAATGGATGGCTTAATGTGCTTGCTTGTAACACTAAATGTCAGGTTTCAAATTATTACTTCTTCTGGATAGTAAAAGTAAATTTAAAGATTTTCTTTAAGTAACAAAGGGGCATAGCTTTGTCAAAATGAAAAAAAAAATGTTGGAGACTTGCATCATAGAAACATGCATGATGCATGATGACCTGAAATAAATAATATATTTCCTGGTTTCAGAGATATTCAAATAAATGTAAAAATCACATAAGGTGCATTAAGAACTTTGTCAAAATGCAAGGAAGAGTCATAAACTTGGACCACTGAGCACCCTTGTGACACTTCAATTACAAGTGAATACCTAAACTGGTTCATAAACTTGGACCACTGAGCACCCTTGTAACACTTCAATTACAAGTGAATACCTAAACTGGTTCATAAACTTGGACTACTGAGCACCCTTGTGACACTTCAATTACAAGTGAATACCTAATCTGGTTCAAATAGTCAGAATAAGGATAAGACAAACTGATTTCTTAAATATTTATTTATAGTGCCTCCTTCACACTGTGTGATTGGGTTGTAACTTAGTGTGCTTAATACTAAATAAAGCAATAACCTTTCTTTATGAGAAGGGATGTTTTTCATTTGTAGCTCTACTTTACCCAAAACTTTTGTTTTCAGGTGCCAAATAAACAGTTTATCATGTCTGCATTCACATGGTTGGATGTCTGCATTCACATGGTTGGATGTCTGCATTCACATGGTTGGATGCAAAAACAACAACATCATCAACATATCCTCTGTGATACATAAACATGATTTTAACAAGAGGGTGTATGTCAGAGATGATGTGGTAATTTATCTAAGCTGTCATCCCAGATGGTTATTTCTGTTTTCTCTGTCTTGTTGACATAGTGGGAAAAACCTGATAGATCAATGTTACAGTATCAGATTTGTTTATAAATGTCCCTAAACCAATATAACTGACTGGTTGTAACTCTCTGCTAGACATGCAGACCAATTCAAAAATACAGAAAATATAAGTATAAACCAAAAAGGAAATAACCACCCTATATCCATGCATTAACTGACATCAAGGCTCATATACCAGCAAGACTCATGAAAAAAATAGTCTCCCATATTACCTATTTTGTTTTACAAAAATGTTATAAATATCGTGTTTAAAACACACCTGCATGTTATGGCATAATTATACTGGTTTCTGATTGAAGGCAGTAATATAATGTACATCTTATTTTTATATACTGTATACTAAATGTTTGACCTTCCTTAATTTAAATCTTAACAAATCCTTCCATATAGACAGTGTGCTCCACTATTCTCAGTGCTCAACAGTAAGAAAAGGGGCATAACTCCGTAAAAAGTTCACTCAGAGTTACGGAAACTGTGCCATCAAGTAAGATAATCACAGAGAACCAGTGTGTCAAGTTTCAACCCATACAATTAAGTTTTGGAGTAACTAACTTGTACGCAAAAACTTAATCGAAGAGTGACAGTAATGCAAAAGTGCTGACACTAACACAGATGCCAATAAGCTTACTCCTGACTCTCTAAATAGTTGAGCTAAAATTGCCTTTCGTTTTCTATAAATTCAAATTATCTATGGACTTCTTGAACAAACCTCAAATTAATAACATTTGTAGCAAACCAACTTACTAGTTTAACATTTTAATTCTAGACAGAGTTATAATTGCTGCACATTGAGTGCTTTTACTTAAAACTTTAAGTATTACATACAGAACACTTGAAATCATCTTAATAGATGATACCTCATTTATTCTTTTTACTCTTTTAACTTTTTTCTCTTCTTAATATTTACTGTTTTTGGAAATGATTGTCATGGAAACCAATAATAATAACAGAAAAGCATTTAAAAAATAACATCCATTATCGAATAAATTTTCTCTATTGTAATTTTTGTTTAGAATGAAAATATTCCATAATGTACTAATGGATCAGCCACTGCTGTGAAAATATTTTCAATAAACAAGCAATAGAAAATGAAAGAAAAGATGTAAAACTATTGATGCAGTAAATACATTCAGTATTTTATTCTGCAGTTAGGGAAATGATGCTGTTAAGATAATAGAATGTACATTGCTGTGATAAATAGAAATTTCTTTGTGCATGGAAGTTGTTTTATTGAATAATTAAAATATATTTTTTTGAGAATTTTAATGTGAAAATTATGATAAGTAAATGAATAAACAATTAACCATAAAAATATGTCTTACATTAATTTTTATCATTATAATGTTTCATACCATACATGTACTTGTGTTGCATTAGTGTTTTAGTTTATTTTCCAGCAGTAGATCAAGGTCTCACACCATAAGGAATATAAATTAATCAAATGTCAATCTATTGTAACCTAATACATATTACTTTCTTCCATTTTCAGTAAATTTAACAAATAACTATGGTCCAATGCCACTATAAATACCCAAAGCAACTTAATATGGCCAAAAGTCAAATAACATTAATCCAATGTCAGTTCCAAATCTACACAACATTTTGGTCCAATTAATATAATGAAAAATTTATCATACAACTTTAAATAATGGTCCAATGTCATAATTATTAAATGTAACAAATAATTTTGATCCAAAATATGTCAATCTAAATTTAACGAATAATGCTGGTCCTTTATAATACATTGTCATCTTTAATCTTGCATCCATTATGTCACTCTAAACAAGGAAAAGTGGGAAAATTTACCAATGACTGATCTTTGATCCATAATATTGCCTTCCACATGTGTTTATTAACATAAAGCTATTATTGAAAGTTATGCAATAAATGTTTTATAACTCTCAGAAGATTAACAACATATATCATAATTAATCAAATATTTCCAAATATGAAATACTTAAATTAATTGTCTTGTGCCATTAAATTCATACTTTACATCTAAATGATATTATATATATTCCGCATGTTTTGATGGCATTTCCTCCAAATACAAGTGAATCACATTGACACATTATAAAGTTAATGATGTTGACATTCTGACAGTAGTAATGCCCACAGAGGCCCCATTATTATAAATAAAGCTGCAATGGCTGGCACCAAATCATTGGACCATTGAAATTATACTAGCATTTACATGAATGATTTACTAACATAAATTGATATTTGGAATTATAAAAATTGATATCGAACACATAATGTGTTGAGCTTACATCAATACAAATAGCTAAAACCAGGAGTAAATTAAAGGCCTATTTAAGCCTCAAAAAATCTTATCTTTGATTTTTCAAAAGCATTTACATTTGTGTTGTCTTGTGACAGTTTCAGGACAAGTTACTTGTTGTCCTGAGATACCAAAGCATATGTTGCTAATCTTCTGCAGTTTGCAATGTTGACTTCATGATTTATCAAACCCCTAATAGAAGTTGTACTCTGCCAGCACAGTCAAATTGTAGAATCTCGCTTAAAAGCATTGGCAATATAAGTTTAAAATATCCCAATTTATCTTTCATCCGAAACCAAAACCACATTACGGCACTGCCCTGGGAGTTTGAGGCCGAGGTACATTTGTCAAATGGTGCATACAATATCAAAATAACATAATTATTAGAGCAGTGCATTCAACAGTTCATTTAATCACTTAATTAAAAAAATTATGTTCCACTGTGAACCCACTCATTATCTGTTATATTTCAACAAATTCGTTCAGTCTTGTTCTATATCATTAAACCATTCCTGGTAAACATTGTTTTGTTATGGCTTGTTGACACTGCTTTCCATAATTATGAAAGACAGGGATTTAATTCTGTATTGGATTTCAATAGTTTATACTTAATAAATCAGTTGTCACATGATGTAATACTAAATTATTAAATTGTTGAATATTTTCTATTCTTCTTTGAACTTCAACAATGGTCTGTGTTCACCATGTTTCTGAAAATAATTTTGTCATTATGGCTGTTAAACATAATATCATATCAGTGTATAAATCTATCTACATAAGTCATAAAATTATAACAAGTACTCTATATAGAATTCCTTTCTTTTTAAATATAACATGAGCCCAGATGAGCATATAAAGGTTATGGTATTCACAGATATCAGTGTTAAAATTCAAAGAATATTATAAGTAACACAAGTTCTAAATGGAAAGCTTACTCAATTCAAAGCATTCTGTTAATGATTATAAATAAATCTACTGTACAGACTCAATATTTTACCATTATGGGCAACTTAAATCTGAGCAAAGTGTTGGCTTGCTAATCATGAAAACACTTGCCGGTCAATTGTAACATCCGGTTTATCAGCCTACCCCAATCCTGAATTCCCATCCCTGAGGCAATGAAAGAGTATCTTGGAAATGATCTTTACTCTGTCCTTGCACTGCCAAGTCTTCACCTGGTGGTTTTATTTTGGCTCCAAAACAACAGATGCAGTGTTGAAACATTTAGCAGCCACTGTGACCTTTGTTATAGTTAAAACATGTGCCAGTGCTTGACATGAGATGTCTTTCCAATAAACAGATTTTTGTTTTTATTTAATGAGGCTGGAATAAGATTTTGCACATTATTTAAAAAAAAAGTCTGCGAAAAATCTCAAACTTTAGGAAATACTTGACATTTT